TATTAATCATAATACTTTGTGTGATATCACGGCATTCCCCTTAATATTTTGCAATGCACCAAGTGAGATGTTTCCTTGCTCAGTTCCAATTCTGAGAATTGTTTTCATATCCAAGCAAAAAATCAGTTGTGATACTCCAATAAATAACCAATGTATATTGATACTGTCTGGTAAAGGTATAATAGGTGTTTTATTGCAGTGCCAAAAGGGGCAGTGAAATAATTAGTGACCTCAGTGGAGCTCAGGAGGACGTTTTTCTCACCGAATCTTCCAGGTGTGATGTTTCCGGGTGCCGCCTCATGCTCGCTGTCGTCTTCAGGGCCGAGTCCACTCTGCGCCGACGGCTTCGGCCTCCACCTCCTCACGTCTTTACAGGTGGTGAACGGAGGAACTGCAAAACAAGGAGAGCCCAGAGGTCAGACGTGATGAAACTCTCTGTGATGATGGGTGAGAGAAAAGAGCTGACAAACCGTGTCGTTTGCTCTCGTTGACTTTGCTGACGAGGAGGACGGCCTTCTGATCGACACCCATACGATCTTTGTTTGTGCCAAACAGCTTCTTAATGTATTTCTCTACAACCACAGAAACACACATTAATCTCTGGCTGAAGACGAGGTGCATTGATATACTGACGGGAAATCATTTCTCTGAGGTTAAGGTTAGATTGTCACCTGTGGCGATACCGACGTTGTCGTCCGAGCTGCTCTCAGAACAGCCAATCAGAGACAAACTGTACGACAGAATATCCTGGAAGAGTTGGTTGGCTGTAAGAGAGCAGTTTCTCATGTGCTGCCTGCAGGGGGAGACGGAGACATTAGACAGCACAGACAAATCACAGAGAGCAACACCAAATCCGCCCAAACACTCACCATCTGCAGTCGTCGTCGTTGCAGGTTCCTGTGAGATCGAACCGACAGAAGCACTTCCTGGGCTCGATTGTGTTGCTGTACGTGACAGAGCTCAGCGATAACTTCTCCTTGGTCCTGTAATACGGACTGAACCTGACACACACAACAGCGCCATCTGGATTTCAAACAGTCGTTCACTTCAGTGTCAGCAAAAAACTCATAATCACAGTCATAACAACACCACCCCCCCCCTCAGCAGATGAGACAGACGCAGATTCAACTTCAAAGTCAGTGTGTCGTCGGAGTGACTGTCTACCTGTACGACTTGAAAACCAGTAGTGGACTGTGGTATGGTCCAAAGGGAACAGGTTTCAGTTCTGGACTTCCTAATGGACTTGTTGTCGTGTCCACCTCCATAGTGATTGCCTGCAGTGACAGAAGAATACGTCACAAAGGAACCACCACGTTCTAACTCTGCTTCTATCACCGGTAACATGATCATTGTGATAGATAATAAGCAGATGAATGAAAAGCTGCAGTTCTACTTCTAAGTTTTGAACGTCTTCTTTCACCTGTCCACTGGGGGCGTTGTCAATGTGCTGTCCCAGTTTGTGCAGCTCGCTCTGCAGGAGCTCTCCGAGTCGTGCCTGCTGCCGGTGACGGAGCTTAAGAGCATCCAGGTCCAGCCCTGTAAACATCTCTGCAGGAGCCTCGCAGCTGCCCGAAGTCTTGGCAGGTTTGGAGCTGCTGTCTTTAGACGGTGTGGAGCTCAGCTGCTCCAGGTTGGGTTTGGTGAAAGAGCAGCTGGACTGACGGAGCGAGTGTCGGCGGGGGCCTCTAGCAGCAGTGGCGGTGGCAGGTGCAGGTTCTGGTTCGTCAACCTCAGCTACGTCTTCGCTGTCTAGCGTGAGTTTATCCTGGGTGAGATCGTGCAGGGAAGGCTGGGGTAGAGGGAAGGGACTGGAGGGCGGTGGGATCTGGGCCTGCGGTTCTGGAGGGGTGGGGGCTCGTGGTGGCGGCTCTGATGAGACTCCTTTGTTACGCAGCGCCTGGGCCTCCTTCAGCCTCTGGATCTTCAGAGCGTATTCAGACTCCAGCTGCTGCAGCCACTGCTTCTGTGCGATCAGCTCAGCAAAGTGACGCTCTGAGCCACGAGGAGCAGCGTCCACCCGCTGCAGTTTACTGAGCTGAGAGGACAGAAGAAGGTTCAGGTCAGAACTGCACACGCTGCAACACCACGCCACACACCACGCCACACACCAGTTCAAACGATCCGTTTGTGGATGGCTAAAACGATAGCAATGTAGCATCAGCTAGCTAAACGAGAAAAACTGCGTCAGTGTTGGAGATACAATACGTCGCTAACGTGGACGTGTTACCTTGTGATGGTTTGAGATGAAGTCGACAACTCGTGTCAGTCAGGGTTAAAGGGAATTTCCACCTAAATATTAAAGCCAGACCAGCCCCCTAGACTAGGATCTAGACCCTGACCCCACCCCAAAACTACGATCTAAACCCAGACCCTTAACAAGGATTGAGGCCCTGACCCGCCCTAAACCATAATCTAGACCCAGACCCGCCAAGTAGACAAAGATCTAGATCCACCCCATAACCACACTGACCAATCCTGTACGGTCTGGATGTGTTTGTATACAACTCGTGTCTGCCTCGTCGCTAGAGGAGGAGCAGTAAATGAGAGGTTACTCACAGGGGTCTGGTTGGTGTCTGATCTGCGTTTGGATCCCCGTCCAGCTGCCAGTTTAGCCTGGGCCAGTTCCTGCTCCAACCTGACAGCCAGACTCTTCTTGATGGACACCCGATGTTCAACACGATGCACCTGCACAGAGCAACAGAGGTTAGAGATCCAGTGTCTCTGGGTCGTGGGAGCAGACTGAATCTTTTGTGGTTCACCTGTTCCTGCAGCTTCTTGAGGAGTGTCTTGTTGGCACTGACAATCTTCTCTGAGGCCTGCAGCTGCTCCCTCAATTTGATGACTTTGGCCTCAGCAGCCTTCAGAGACTCTTTCTTCTTCAGCTCCTGCTGCAACAGATGTCTGAGCACGGCCTCATCTCTCTGCAGCAGCTCCCTGTGACAGGACCACACCACTTGTTCAAATGCTGGTATGTGAGCATGATACTACACGTTAGGGCTGGGCGATATGGCCTCAAACAGCGATACATGATATTTTGAAATCTCATCTAAATCACTGTACGCATGTTAAATTCATAAAAGTCCACAGGAAGCGGACGTTAGCATTTCAGACACTCGCTGAATGCACCTCGTCGGAAGATATCAGTGGTGTCAGTGAACACAAGCGCGCGCACACACACGGTTCAGCCTTCACAAAGAATATGAACAAACTGTCTATAACCGTCTCTGAACACTCGTCAACTCGCTCCTTCTCATGCTCCGAGTCTCCTCCCTCTGCTCCTGATACTAAAATACACGGGGGGAGAGAGCTGTCTGCTGTGGGGAGGGGCATGAGAAGAGAGAGAGTGAAACTCAGAGAGAATTTCATGCTGACGGCTTAAAACATTCACGTTAAAAGATTATACTCCGCGGTTGTGAATCACATGTGGTACAAGCCGCAATATATCGAGTATATTCGATATATCGCCCACCCCTGCTACACGTGACACACGTCATGGTCTAGCGTGTTGTGTCATCTTGAATTCATTTTGCACCCCCCACCCTCAGTCAGTCTAGATTAATGCTTCAGTCATTCTCTAGACGAGTTTCTTTCTCTTTCTAGATTTCCTGTATCTGACACTCTTTGCTGATGGAGCCCTCCTGCCCTCCCCCCCTCCTGCTGCGATTACGTCTCACCTGTTCTTGTTGAATCTCTGCTCGACCTCACTCAGCTTCGCCTCCACTGTCATTCTCGCTGATGGATTGATCGCAGACTCGATCAGAGCAGAGCTGGAGCTCCAAGGACTCTGATCCTTCAACATCTTCTGCTTTTCTCTGCTGTGAACAGTGAGGAAACATTTCACACTTCAGTCTTTGAAATATCAGGAACATTTCCACAGCCTCTTTAACAAACGTGTTTGGTACCTGGCGATTTCCTCTTTGAGCTGACGGTACTCTGCCTTTTTTGCTTCAGGTAAAGCCTCTGGAGTTCTGACGGGGTTGTTCTCCTTCTCAGATCCCGAGGCCCCTTTAGGCTTCGCTGCCTGGATACACCAGAGACAAGAATTTACATTTCACAGGCGCAGTGCCCTCAGAGACATGTTTTCAGATGTATCGTCCATATAAAGCACATTTTTCTGTCATCACAGACTTAAACTAGGGACAGCCTTGTCTACACCTCTAACACTACTTTAATCTTTCAAATATTCTATTTCCCATTGTATTATCCTGCTCTCTGAAAATGTGTCTGACCTCCACCGTCCTCCTGGCTTCTTTGATCATGAACTCCAGTCCTCCGAACACCGTCTGTGTGGAGCTGCAGGCATCCACATCCGAGTCACTGTCGTCTGAATCATTGAGCGAAACCACCACCGACTTGTGTCTGGGCAGCTGCAGGAAACAGGACGACACACGGAGTCGGACAAATGCCCTTCAGCGGTATTCAGCTATTAAAGCAGACAAGGTCAGCGAGGAGAAAGCTGTGAGGGCCTTACCACCAGCGGTGCTCTGGGGGCGTGTCCTCTAGTGAACTTGTTGGTCCGTGGCTGCGACACTGTGTTCAGACTGACGGTGCTCAGGTTCCCTCTTGGTGGCGGCGGGACACCTCCAGGAGGCTGGCAGCTTGGGGAGGGCGGACCACTGGAGCTCTTCTCCTGGAAATAAGAGTTTTCACAGACACATGAGAAACAGCAAACAGCCGCACCACCTGGTGGTCACAGTAAATTAAAAATAGAAATTAAAGTCAGTCAGTTTAATATTAAATTAGATCAGCGTTCTAAACATGCCTGTTTACCGTTTACCTGGACTCAGTCCTGAGAACCTGAGGTAAAGATCTGGACTGAGTCCTGAGAACCTGAGGTAAAGATCTGGA